CAGGCCTGGGCCATATGCGGAGGCTGACCCTGACCAGCCAGGCCTGGCCTCCTAGCTGACTCATTAGACAGTCTTCAATGCCTGTTCAAATGCAGACTCACCAGTCCTGAAATGCTCTGCATGGAAGGCTCCAGGTTCTGAGCTCCCGTAACTAGATTCAGACACTGCAAAGCTCCAGGGCTGGATTTCCATGAGGCTAAAGTTTTGGGGAGGTCACTCCCACGGGCAGGGAGCTCGTCCTGCTTTGCTCAGTATCGCATTCCCTACCTCTAGAATAGGGGCTGGCACGGGACACTTGCCTGATAACACCTGGGAAAGCAACGAGTGGATGGAGGAAGAAGCGAACCCCAGCTGCTACTACTCAGCATGTCAGCACTGGGTTCCCATCTGCACCTGAGGTTCCAGACCCTGAGCACCTGATTCCGCGTTCCAGGAGTCAATGGGGCAGGGAGAGACTCCCCCAGAACCAAGGCCCCCACCCCCTCTCTGCTGCACCTCACCTGTCCAGGGCCCACATAGCTGCAGAGGGCGTCGGCGTGGCAGCCACCTCTCGTGTCCAGCTCACACTCGTCAATAGCCACACAGACGTGGCCGTCCCCACTCCAGCCTTTGTGGCATGTGCAGTTGTGGGTGCCCCGGGCCCCAGGGACACACTCAGCCTGTGAGAGCCAAGGATAAATAATTCAGGGATATAGGGACGTAGCCAGAGGGCCAGGGCATCCCACCTCCTGCCTCTGAGTCAGAACTTCAGGGAAGGAGCAAGGGGACTGACATTCTCTGAGCAGCCACCACGGTCCGGGTGGGAGCAGGGGTTGCTGGGTGTGCAGGAGAAGCCATTGCCCTCAAAGCCATCAAGACAGCGACACCTGGGGGTGGGCGAAGGAGGGGCCTCCAGTGAGCCTCAGGAGGAGGCTAGAGCCTGCAGACAGGTGTGAAAGGTCACGGGTGGGGCAGAGAGAAGGTGTGAGTTCTCACCTGGCAAAGCCCCCCTGGGTGACACAGTGGGCATGCAGGTGGCAGTGCACGGCCATCTCTATGGGCCCGCAGTACCTCACGGTCTCATTGCAGAAGTGGCCACTGAAGCCAGGGGCACACGTGCCCTGCTGGCACACCCCCCCACTGCCTGGACGGTTGTCGCAGAGACCATGGACACAGCCGCAGTCTGTAGGTAGAAGATGGGAGCAGGGCAGCTGAGGAGCAGGAGGCAGGGCTGGCTGGACGGGCTTGGGGGGTACAGGGAGTAGGGCAGCCAGTACAGATTGGACTTCAGGGTCGAAAAATCAGAGGTTTTCTCAGACTCGATAGGCAGATGAAATGTGAGGGGAGCATTCTGAGCTTTCAGTCACCCCATTCTAGTTGCCTTGATCCCAACACCACCATCAGGAAGTTCTTCAGTGTGTCTGACCTAAGTCCTGCATACTCTAAGCCACAATTCCCTTCCTGGAATGGGTGAAGGGGACAGCATCTCCTTCTGTTCTCAAATCTTCTTCTATTCCCCCTGGCCTTCATTCCTCCTCCTGGGACCTCATTTCCCTTCTTGGGAGCCCCCAGACCCATTTTCAAGCAGACCTTTTTTCTCCCTAGGAGGTGGCTTGGGCCAGGACAACCCACCTTCCTGGCACTGATCTCCATGCTTGTTTGGGTTGGAGCAGATGTGGCAGGCAATGCCCTTGTAGTCTGGGAAGCAGAGGCAGGCCCCGTTGCCCTGGATCCCATCACTGCACTAGAGAGTGAGCAGGAGGCAGGATTAGTCATGGGGAAGGGACTCTCTACATTCCCTCTCCCAACACTCCCTCCTTTCATGAGCTGGCTCTGACGCTCCGCATGAGAACTCATCCTGGAAGCGCTCTTCAAAATCACTGATGCTGCCAAAGACCTAGCCCCTAAAAGGCACCTTGCCCTGGAGGCTTTATGAGTGACATTTGCTCAATCCAGAAACACATAACTCCTGTGTTCTTCTATAGCCAGGTGCTAAAGCAACCCTGATATTACAAAGTGATAAAAACAGAACACAAAAGGAAACTACTGCCAAGTAGCTTTTTGGAAATAAAGCTAAATTTTTTTGCCAAAAAAATCTATCTAATTATTATTATTATTATTACTTGAGATGGACTCTCACTCTGTTGCCTAGGATGGAGTATAGTGGGGCAATCTCAGCTCACTGCAACCTCCACCTCCTGGCTTCAAGTGAGTCTCCTGCGTCAGCCTCCCAAGTAGCTGTGTCATAACACCAGGCTAATTTTTGTATTAGTAGAGATAGGGTTTTGCCATGTTGGCCAGGCTGGTCTTGAACTTCTGACCTCAAGTGATCCACCCACCTTGGCCTCCCAAAGTGCTGGGATTACACGGGTGAGCCCCTCTAATTACTATTATTATTATTATTTAGTTTTTCTTTTATGCCCATGTTTCAGAGGAGCCTCTCTAATTATTTTTAATTAAAATAGAAATAATTTGATTCAACTTTCCAATGCCTAGATGTGAGGACCCCAAGGCCAGAGCGTGGCAGGCTTGACCCAGACACACAGCCAGTCAATGGCCAACTTGTGAAGGCGTCCCTGCCTTCCCCATTCCTCACCCCAGGAGAGGATGGGACTCACGTTGCCCTTGCCGTAGCAGGGGCTGGAGAAGCCCCCAGGACACTGCGTGCAGTCAGGCCCGAAGAAACCTTTGCAGCAGCCTTGTTTCTGGAAGAGAGAGCAAGTCCAAGAGGCCATCTGGGGCCGTGCCCTCCCTGCCCAGGCTGCCTCTGCTCCCTGACACCATCTCCAGAGCGAGGGAGTGGATGAGGTTTCTCTGGGCCCCCCTTTTCCACTGTTAGGCTGCAGTCACCCATCCAGCCCCAGCTTGGGGGCCCCTGAGGAGCAGCAGGTGCCAAGGTGACCATGGAGCGGGCACCCGGGCTCAGGCTCACCATGATGGTTTGGTTGCAGTAGCTGGCACAGCCCTTCTTTAGCACATTGAGCCCAGCTGGGTCATGGATGTAGACACACTCCTTGGGTAAGATGTCCTAGGTGGGCCGTGCAAAGCCAGTCAGCAGCTGTGGCTCCTGGGCCAGCCCCTTTGCTAGGCAGCCCTGGTCAAGGGTCCTCTGCTCCCTGGGTCCAGAGCTCCCACTTAGACCAGTGGGGCTGGGCAGCACTGAGCCTCCAGGTCTGGTCTCGTCCCCCAGCCTCTGCTTCTCCCACCCACCCCCTTGACCCAGGGCAGAAACCTCGACAGGCAGTCAGGAGGCCCTGAGGGCTGGGCCAAGGGGTGCTCACCAGCTTCACACTGTTGAGGGGGCACGTGCTAGTGTTCAGGGCTTGGCAGTCCACACAGGAGCCCTGGGCAGGGCAGGGGCAGGATGGGGAGAGGGGTTAGTCATTATTTACTTGGCAAACCCAGAGAAGGGAACATTGAATGGGAATTAGGGGATGAGAAGAGTAAACCACAGGAATCCCAGGGCTGGCGTTTCAGGCAAGGGAGAGCAGGGGAGAGCAGGGGCAGGGCCCTGAGCTGGGGAGAGCTAGCATCTCTGGAAAACAACAGAGACCAGAGGCAGGCACAGAGCGAGTGAAAGGGAACAGAGCGGTGGAGGATGCAAGAGTTATCTCAGCGGGGCGCAGTGGCTCACGCCTGTAATCCCAGCACTTTGGGAGGCCGAGGTAGGCAGACCACCTGAGGTCAGGAGTTTGAGACCAGCCTGGCCAACATGGTGAAACCACATCTCTACTAAAAATACAAAAATTAGCCAGGCGTGGTGGTGGACGCTGCAGTCCCAGCTACTCAGGAGGCGGAGGTAGGAGAATCTCTTGAACCAGGATTCTGAGATTGCAGTGAGTTGGGCTTGTGCCACTGCACTCCAGCCTGGGCAACAGAGCAAGACCCTCCCTCAAAAAAAAAATTATCTCAAAGGTGGAATCATAGTCCCAGTGAGTGTGAGGGTGAGGGTGAGTGTGGGGGAAGCACAGGTGGGCCCCTGGGAGTCTGCCAGCAGTGCCTCAGAACTGGCGTTAGCCCAGCCCTGACTTGGAGCCTCTCCCTGGGAAGAGGATCAGCTGCTGCAGCGCTGGGCGGGGCAGGAGGGGTGGGAGGAGTTAGTGAGCAGGGCTCTGGCTGTGCAGGCGAGGCTCACCACCACGATCTTGTGCTGCTCCTCGCTGCAGTGCTTGGGCAGGATGGGCAGGATGGTCGGGGGCAGCAGGATGCCATCCAGCATGTGGATCACACCATTGGAGGCCAGCAGGTCCACCCTCTGCAGCGGGACCCCCTCAGGTCCCAGCAGGATGCGGCCCTGTGGCAGAGACCCATGGCGCCAACCCCCAGCCCAGCTGACCTCAACCGAGTGGGGCTGCCCACCTCCACCCCTGCAGCCCAGTTAGAGCAGGCAGCTCAGTGAGATGCTGAAGGCCCCGCCCACTGTGCCAGCCACCTCTCCCTCAGCTCTGGCCAACGACACTCCTCCAGCCCCGGGAACCTTACCTACATGGCTTCTGCCACAGGGAGCCCTACCGTGTGTCCCATGCTCCTCTTTGGAGTCCTCCCCCTTAACCCCCATTGGGCCGCGGCAGAGGAATTTGATCCCTGCCTCCTTCCTTCCCCATGACCCCACCAGGGCCCAGCACTGTCCTGCCTACCACAGGGCTTGGAGCACACAGGGCTGAGAGGCCAAGTGGGCAGCTGGTCACCGCCAGCCCCACCATCCACCCAGGTGTCCGTGCGCCTCACCTCCTCAGAGATGTTCATGGCCAGGACCTGGTTGGCCATGGTGAGGATCCGGCCCTTGGAGATGAGCTTCTCAACGGTCAGCTGGGGTGAGGGAGACTGTGGCATTAGGCTGGCCTCTGGCCACACCTTGGGGCCATACCCGGTCCTGTCCAGGAGGCTCACAGCCACCCCCTTGGTCCCTAGGCTCTGCTCTGTGCTACAGCAGAACAGATGGGAAGGGGAGAGGAGGGAGGGGAGGGGAGGGGAGGGGAAGAGATGCAGCCCCACTGGGTGCAAGCTGGGCACCCCCCAGAGACAGGCCTCGCACCTGGCCGTGGTTATAGACGTGGTACCGCACCAACTCCTGCAGTTTGGAGAGACCCTGGCAGGGGACAGAGGGTTTGGCTCCCAGAGGCCCTGTGGGGGGGGCGTGGAGGCCCTGGTACCCCCATACCCACAGCCCCTTCTC